AGTTGCCAGACTCATTTGCTGACCCAAATAGAGTAACTAAGTCTCATATCCCAGCGGTTAATGCTCCAGTTAGAATTGATGTCCAAGGAGGACTAAATCAAGCTGCTACTGAATCTAAGGCACGTTTAAAACGTGGTAGACCAATTGGTTCCAAAGATAAGAATCCTCGGAAAAGAAAAGGAGCAGAAATTGGCAATAGTGAAACCGAGGATGTAAAGAATCCTGAAGGTTCTCTAGAAGAGACCGTAGACATGAAAAAGAAAGAAATTCAGGTACCTGATAATGAAGAGATCTCAATTAATCATGTCATGTCTGGGATAAAATGGAACCGTAAGCAAATCGACGTCGATGATAATTTTGCATGCAATGTAGCACTTGAGGTTATGGATGAAAATGAGGATCATGAACCAAAGTCTATCGTAGAGTGTACACTACGAAGTGATTGGCCAAAATGGAAAGAGGCAATAGACGCTGAATTAAAATCACTCTCAAAACGAGAAGTGTTTGGACCGGTAGTCCGTACTCCTAATGGTGTTAACCCAGTTGGACATAAATGGGTCTTTGTGCGGAAAAGGAATGAAAATTGTGAAGTTGTGCGATACAAAGCACGATTAGTTGCACAAGGATTCTCACAAAGACCTGGAATTGATTATGAGGAGACATACTCCCCTGTGGTGGATGCAACTACTTTCCGGTTCTTGATTAGTCTGGCAATTAAGGAAGGACTTGATTTACGCCTGATGGACGTAGTCACAACGTACCTGTATGGTCCCCTGGATAATGAAATTTATATGAAAGTCCCAGAAGGATTCAAACTGCCACCGGCAGCAAAATCTAGTTCTCGAGAACATTACTGTATAAAGTTGAATAAATCTCTTTATGGGCTGAAACAATCAGGGCGTATGTGGTATAATCGCCTGAGTGAATATTTAATAAGAGAAGGTTATAAGAATAACCCTATCAGCCCATGCATATTTATAAAGAGATTTGAGAAAGGATTTGTTATAATCGCAGTATATGTAGATGATTTGAATATCATTGGAACTTCGGGAGAAATTTCTCATACAGTGGAGTACTTGAAGAAAGAATTTGAGATGAAAGATCTTGGAAAGACGAGATTCTGTCTAGGATTACAGATAGAGCACCTAGAGCAAGGAATCCTTGTGCATCAAGCAACTTATACAGAAAAGGTGCTTAAAAGATTTTATATGGATCAAGCACATCCGTTGAGCAGCCCAATGGTTGTAAGGCCAGTTGATGTGGATAAAGACCCATTCGCCCCTAAGAAAGAGAATGAGAAAATCCTTGGTCCAGAAGTACCATACTTAAGTGCTATTGGAGCATTGATGTATCTTGCTTGTCATACAAGACCTGATATATCTTTTGCAGTAAATTTACTGGCAAGGTTTAGCTCATGCCCAACTCGAAGGCACTGGAATGGGATTAAACATATACTTCGTTACCTCAATGGAACGAAAGACATGGGTTTATTCTTTTCTAACCAAGCCAAAGGAGATTTGATTGGTTTTGCAGATGCAGGATACTTATCTGATCCTCATAATGGTCGATCACAAACAGGATATATATTCTCATGTGGTGGTACTGCCATCGCTTGGCGATCTATGAAGCAAACCATTGCAGCCACTTCTTCTAACCATGCAGAGATTCTAGCTATCCATGAAGCCAGTCGCGAATGTGTATGGTTGCGGTCCGTCGTTCAGCATATAAAGAAAGATTGTGGTATATCTGAGGGAAAAGAAACTCCAACAATTATGTATGAAGACAATGCTGCATGCATCGCACAACTAAAAGAAGGATACATTAAAGGTGATAGAACAAAGCATATCCTCCCAAAGTTCTTCTTCACACATGAGTTTCAGAAGAATGGGGATGTTAATGTTCTAAAGATTCGTTCAAGCGATAATCTGGCTGATTTATTCACCAAGGCTCTTCCAACTGCAACTTTCAAGAAATTAGTTCGTCTTCTTGGATTACGTCGTCTCAAGGATCTTGACGGATGCACTCATCAGGGGGAGTAAATGCGCGCTGCACTCTTTTTCCCTTAACCATGGTTTTTCCCACTGGGTTTTCCTGGTAAGGTTTTTAATGAGGCATCATGTTTTGCGCATTTACAACTATTCGATTCTAATGGACATCCAAGGGGGAGTGTTATGAATGATTTAGTGGATGCCCATTATAGGCCCATTAGTCTATTCACCATATTTGTATCCCTATATATACCCTCTGGTTATCAATAGAATGAACATAGTTTTTACCCCTTCAATCTCTTTCTTAACACTAAAGAAATATGGAAATAAATATTTGTTGTTGGAACTTGCAATCCAAAATATTTTAAATTGAAGGAAAATAAAAAAAATCTTCCACTATGATGATATATATCATTTTATCTTATTAATCGATACATGCTAAAGCTATCGTTGAACATATAAATCATAAACGCAATTGCAATTACGACGTCTACGTCTCTTATAATATGTAGAACAAATTCCATCAAAACACAAATAAGACAATGTGGGCACATTTCAATCTCATAAGAAAAATCACTTGTAAGTTTTCACCTTACATGGCTCCAAATCTTCCACCATCTTAACTTTGTTAACTTTCGCATAATGAACTGATGAACCGATACAATAGCATTTTTCCCTCATGCATAGAGCTTTCTTGCTTGCGCAATTGGGGGCATTGCATTCTTCTGTAGTCTTGCAAGGGGAAAATGTTTGAGTAGGCTGAGATGTTGTTGTTGGTATACTTATCATCCATACATCTAACCAAACATATCACTACAAAACAAGTTATGCTATGTACAAATCCAACAATTCTTTCATTAAAAGACGTGAGAGAGATGTTGAGTCTTACAAGGTATCAACAGCGAGAGGAGGAAGAGGGATATTGCTTTTGATGTCATTTTGTGTGTGTGTATAATATCATAAATAAGTCTCCACAATCTTTGCACTTTATAGTGTCTTTGAAATTTTTGAATTTTATTGTTCAATTATTTTTGCAAGTTAATCACTTGATATTTTAGATTTTCTCTATCTCATATCCAAGTCTTTACCATAATTTTTATACATTCATATATTTTGAAGATTTTTTTCTTCTCCCCCCTCATATATTTTAAAGATACAAAATTAATCTGGCAATATATATACTACATTTGCTTACATGATATGATTCTAATTAATTGACTAAAAATATGTGTAAATTATTTTCTAAATAATTTTTTAATATGTTAATGAGTAAAATTTTACATATTAATAAAAATGTTAATGTTAATTGGCCAAAACTTCTTAGTTATTTCAAAAAAAAAATGTTAATGGATGATCCTTACATTCGGATTGATTTTATAAATATTTGGCTTAATTAGCGATTACAATGGGGAACTAGTAAACTAACCATATTAAAAGGTGAATGCATGACTTGGTTATTAAAAACATATCCCTATATTAGTAAAAGAGAAGTACAAAAAGTGTTTTCGGGTTGGGTTAATTTCAAAACATTACCCAAAATTTGTAATTGGATCTTTTAAAATTGGATAGATTAATGGGTTTGGATACATACACCGGATACTTTCCAAATCTAATTTTATGATTGTATTATTTCCATAACTAATTATAAGATTTACTAATATTTCTCTAACTAATTTAATACAATCTATTTAAAAATATTATTCTTCTTTCACTTTTATTTGATATTATTTTTAATTTATTATATTATATTATATAATATAAATATTTAATAAAAATTTAACTTTTTTTTTTTTTGCATATGTTGCAATTTGAATTTTTCAAAACGGACATATAATATTCAACTACACTCGGTTAAATATTTTGGACAACGGTTTAAAATCATTATAAGTATGACCAATATTAAAACCATTGTTACATGAGCATATTTAATATTTCAAATAGTTTCAAAATATTATAAATAAAAGGTTCAAATATATAAAACTTTTAGAATTTAAAATATCGAAATATTTTTTTGAAGATATAAATGTAATTTTGGAGACATAATTTTTATTGATAAAATATATTATATATTGAAATATGTAAATTTTAGATAATTCACGGGTAGTTTGTTAAAATCACAATTATAATGATAAAACGAGTTATGAATAATGTTTTTTACGAAATGAATTCTGTTACGGGTTGGACTTTCAAAAATATATTGTAAATATGTAATTTTTACGTATATTCCTACTTTTACTACAAAAATGGCCAAAATGAATAATTTATCGACAAATATTATTTCGTGCTGTTAAATTTTCACCGTGTTTTTAATTGTATCAAAACTCAGTATATGATTATTTACTCGCTTTTTCCTTTATTATTTTATTTAAACTTATTATACAAATATATGATTTACCGTAATCGACTGCACTCTAACAAAATTAAAATGTAACATATTCTAATCCGATAAAAGTTATATATATGTAATTATTTCCTCCGCGCTGTAGCGCGGATCCGAACCTAGTTATTGTTAAATTAAGAGTAGACGTTTTAAAATCCTTTAGTAAAGTTTCATAAAACTCCCTCTTAAGTTAAAATCCTTCAGCCGGTAATAGTAGTTAACATGGTTTCAGTCTAAAAGAGACATGGTGCTTCTAAGTTTTGGTTGGTATTGTATTTTACATAGCAACTTACAAGGTTAGAAAAACAGATTACCCAATGAACCATTTTATTTCAGAGATGCACTAAGCAGTTCTTTCTTAACACAAAGCGTTCATATATTTTAACAAGTACATAGTCCTTCCATACAATAAGGTCCTGGCAAATTTTCGCAACGAACAATCTTAAGACAATCTTCTTCAATGTCACAAGTCCACATGTTACACTTTCCAGCCTTTCCTTCTCCTTTACACCATATGCCATCACAATCATCTCTCGATCCGCACGATGGAATATTGCTACTGTCCTTGTTGTTTGATGCATTGGTTTCATGCAACAAGAATGCGCCTACATGATATTCAAGTGAATTATTTAGCAACCATAGTTAAACATGCATGTTTCAGACTCAGCACTTAATGTTGGTTTAGAAACTTATTATAGAGATATAAAAAGAAACACTTACAAGAGATGAGAAAAAAGAAGAAGAAGAAAAGTGATGTCGCTCTAGACGCCATTGATAGATTAGAAACAAATTTTATTTTATTTTTAAGGACTGATTTCAATGACTATATAATTGTTTGAAATGTTCACTGTTTTCTCATTGCTTTATATATATTAGGCAACTAACTGATGAAAGATTTTTTCTGATCAACCTTTAAAGCTTTTCTAAAAAACTGCAGAAAAAATGGAAATAGCCATGCAAAGGTGGCAAGTGGCAACTGGCATTGGCAACACAACTTGCGAATGCGAACAATTATTTATCTAAATTTAATTAATATTGGTGATGATTATTAAGTTGTTTTTTAAAAGAACACATGTTGAGGGTGAAAATCTAAAACTTAGAGTAGTCCCTCAGCTTAGTTACGGCCATTACTATTGTAAAAAAAAAAATCAATGTTTTAATCTTAAGTTCATATTTTTGTTTAGATAAACAGAAAACAAAAAAAGAATCGACAGTTTCGTATGCACAAATACATATATATATTATTTTATTAAATTTGTTTTGTATTTATTATTGAAATCATCACACAAAGACATAACAAAGACTTTTCAGATTTCTAAGTTCGCTAATTATTTATCTAAGCAATGACATTGTGAATGTTCACAAATAAATTTTCCAAAAACGCAAGTGAGTTTATCTTCACAATCACTTGCTGTCTTGCACGGTATTGAAGTCTCACCTGGTTTTACATTCAGACTTTTTCTGCTTAACATTGGTGAAATCGGTGGACATTGACATTTTGAGTTTATACATTTTACCGATGTAATTAAACAATGAACATCTTGGCAATCATCTACGGTCGAGCAGCTATGGTTTTGTACTTGAGCTTCAACTTTAGGTATGCTCATTGATCTCATACCTAATATCAAGACATCAGTTTCATTAGTGATTAGAAAACCAAATTTATTCATTACATTTAGTATGTGAATCGATGTTTCGAGCGAATAGACTTACATGTAAGAACTAGTGAAATGAACATGAGAGAAATAGCTTTAGACGCCATTTGATTTGGTGAGAGTAATTTGATAGTTTAACAAGATACAACTAAACACAATATGAGTTAGAACAAGAAAAAGGATGAAGCAAACTATATATAAATTAGTTAGATAAGGAACAAAAAGGATCAAAATGAAGAGGAAGAATATATAATATTACATGATAGGAATGAACCTTAAGAATGAAAATGAATCTATATTCTAGATTAAAGAAAAATATATATTGAAAGTAAAGTATATTAAGATTTCATACTAAAATCTGAATTTTAATAGGAAATCATTAATAATTATTACAATAACATATTCAATATTAAATCTAAACTTGTACATAATATTTGTATTATTATATCATCTGAAACTCATTAAATTTTATTTCATATAGAAATAAATATTTCAAAATTTATTAGTTATCATATTTTAATTTATAGTAAAATCATAAGAATTATTATAAATTTTTTTAAGTAATTCTGATAACATTCCTAAGAAATATTTAATATAATACAATACATTTATTATTTTATCTAAATGTCTATTTAAGAAAATATTTTAACTATTGAGATTAATTGTTAGAGATTTCTTTTCTAATGTGTAAATATATTTGCCTTGCTTGTTCCTCACAAAATCTGAATGACCAATACTTTTGTCCCACAATCCTCCATATAAAAAAGAATGATGGGATATTATGTAGAGTTATCATGTATTGTATCAAATATTACTTCTAAGTTCTAATTGGTGTATTTTTTGAAAAAAAAAAGAAAAAATCATTATTCATCTTTTCTTTTACTAATAAAAATCAATGTTCATCTTAATTTTATTGGCTACAGTTTAGTGACCAGAATTAATGTTTAATACAGTTTGAAATTGGGATGATCAGATTAATGAAAATTATTATACTTAATTAATGGTGGGTTAAGCCAGGCCCGTGCAGTAGTGCAACGCATAGGCGACTTGTGAAAGCCCAGATAGCAAGCTATCTTAATGGGCTTTCTCCCTAAAAAAATAGAGTTAATATCGTATGGGCCGATGACCCATATATCAGATATTAAACTGATAAGAACAGATACTACACTTGATCTTAGCCAAAAGGCCGAGAAAGGTATGAATTGTGAGGACCATCGAGCGTCTATTTTATACACCAAGTCCAATAGTGAGATCTTCATAGCTGAGCGATGTGGGATAAATAAAACACAAACACCTTTTCTTTAGCCTTCAGACAAAGTATAAAATATTTAGCCACCATCCAGACCAGCTTTGTTTCATGGTGAGCTAGAGATCTCAGGTAAGAGTTTTTGTTGTTTCCTTTCTCAGTTCTTTGATCCTCTGAAAATTTTTCATTAGTTCGTATGAAAGATTCTTACAAAACTCCATCTTGGACATGTAAAAATCTTGATTTGGTTTGAATTATGCAGTGTAAAAAGCTTCTGCAGAAGCTTTTGTTAAACATAAAGCCTTAAGAAAACAGATGCCACATCTTCATGAAATTAAAGATCTAAGGGTACCACAATTCTAATGCAAGTCCTTGAAAAAGAATCAGCAATGTTTGTTTACTTTATAATCTCTTGATTCTCTAAAATTTATTTGAATTATCAAAGATCAAACTACATAATAATGGATAATCTCGTTCATCAGTGATTTAAATTGGCCCATAATACTGCTAATGGAAAGATAACCCCTTTTGTGTCAAAACTTTCACTGAAAACAAAATAAGGAAAGAAAAAAGGATCAATCTTGCCAAGGATCACTCTCTGCCCTAACTTCAGATGGTTCAACTACTTCTGTTTCTCCACTTTTGTCATCTCCTTCATTCACAGTCGCGCTTTCTTCTTCTTCTTCAACTCTGCCCCATCTTCCTCCTACCGCCATTGCCATCATCTCATATATCTTGTTCCCTAGCTCAGCCGGGCTATCAGGCTGTTCAACAAACACATCAAAAGTGAGTAAACAGGTCAAGACATTTACTGATATTATAGCAGTGTAATATAAGAGGGTCTTACAGTGAATCCACTTGAGATTATAGCAGTATCATATAAGAGGTCGACCACTCTTGTTGCTTCACTGCTATCTGGTGCATTCTTACAAGCAGCCTACACCAAAAAAAATACAAAAGTTTTAAAGCTTTTTCGAGATTTTTGAGTCGAGATTCACAAGGGAATATATCGCACAAACTTACATTCAAGTCTTTGATGATGGGATGATCTGGATTGATCTCTAGAATTCTCCTACCTCTCATGAACTCCAAGCTTGAAGTGTCTCCAAGAGCTTGTGCCTTCATTAATCTTTCACCATAAACAACCACATTAAGTTTGATGATGTCAATTTCGGTTTTAGTATTGCTTTTGCTAAAGTACTAACCTTTCCATATTAGCTGACCATCCGAATTTGCCTGAGACAAGCACACAAGGAGAAGAGCTCAAACGGTTTGAGACTTGGACTTTAGCAACTTTTTCACCGAGCTGCTGTTTAATCCAGTCACAGAGCAGGTTAAACTCTTGTTTAGCTTCTCTTTCCTTTACTTCATCTTCATCTCCTGCGAGAATATACAGAATTTGTTACAAACAAATGGACAAGAAAAAAGCACGAGGTTTGACGAAAACAATACTTACCAAGTTCCAAATCCTCTTTGCTGATATCAACAAACTTCTTTTCTTTGTAGGTCTGTAAATTCTGAATTGCAACCTCATCAATCGGTTCAACCAAGTATAGAACCTATCATTCAAAAAACCAACAGTAAGAAAACAAATCAAACCAGAATCATGTGCCAAGACAATATCTTTTGAAGATGAAAACCTAAGCTTGAAGAATATACTTTACCTCAATGTCTTTTTGGATTAGTTTTTCCAAGAAAGGGGCGGACTTGGCACTCTTTAAGCTATCGGTTGCAAGGTAGTAGATCGCCTTTTGGTTCTCTCCCATGTTCTCGATGTACTCATCCAAGCTTGTCAATTCCTCTTCATTCTTGGAACTGTAGAATCTAAGAAGCGGTGTAATACGCTTGTGGTTACCAGTGTCTTCAATACAACCCAATTTAAGGAATCTACCAAAGTTCTCCCAGAATTTCTTGTAATCCTGGAATCATTTCTACCATATAAATATCTCTGACCTTCAAACGAGTTCAAGTGAACAAAATTAGATTAGGGAGATACGTACCTCTTTGTTTTCACTTTCTGAGATTTCTTGAATCATGTCAAAGGTTTTCCTAATGAGCCTCTTTCTCATGATTCTTACCTGAATATAATCAAGAAAATAGTTTAGTTAGGAGGTGAGGTTCTTATATAAATCAACATTTTGTATTACTAACAGTTGACCACTTACAATCCTGCTTTCTTGGAGAATTTCACGGGAAACGTTAAGAGGAAGATCATCTGAGTCCACCACACCCTTCACAAAGCTCAAGTATCTCGGGAACTGCATATAGATTACGAAACATGGTCAGACAAAAATGTAACCAGGGGATATCCATAGAGGGTTCTACAAAAGAAAGAACTAATATATACATAAGACTCACAAGTTCTCCATCAAAATCGTCAGAGATAAACACACGCTTCACGTAGAGACGAATGTTCTTTGTCTTAGGGTTTGTCACATCCTCGTTGTTGAGAGGACCCATCCCAGGAATGTACAAAATGCTCCTGAACTCAACTTCACCCTTTGAGAATCAAAACAATATAATTAGTAAGCACAAGTCGAAGAATTTATCAATTTGACATGTATGTAAATAGTGTATAAGGATAAGGACCTCAGTTGTGAAGTGTGTGTGAGCAAGTGGATCCAAGAACTCACTGAAAGCTTTTTTGTAGAACTCATTGTACTCTTCTTTTTCCACTTCCTTTGAATTGCGCATCTATTCAAAGACACAAACCAATCAGCAAACATGTTGAACGAAGACAAAACACACTATAAAGCTATTAGGCTTACCCATAGCGGTTTTGTCTCGTTGGCTAGTTCCCAATCCCAGTACTTCTCAGTTTTAGTTGTCTTCTTTTTCTTTGGCTCACCCTAGAAACAAATAAGTAACAAAATCAACTTAGCAAACAAAAGTCTAAAACAGTACTTGGTTTTGGACAACGTATACAGATAATTTAAAACCATTAAGTTTTTACCTCTTCTCCTTCCTTCACTGGCTCTTCCTCTTCAACCTACACCGAGTTACAAATTTTCCAAACACATTTAGCAACGTGAATACACTGTTATAGTTAAAGACAAAGCTGACATCTTCACCTCAATAGTCCTTGATTTCTCCTGCCATGTATAGATGGGAAACCCAACAAACTGAGAGTAATTCTTCACAAGATTCTTGATTCTCGCAGACTCCGCGAATTCGTACTTGTCATCATCCTGCAGCCGGGAATAAACAGTCAACTTAACTATAAAAGATCTCAATTCGGCACATCAAATGAAATAATGATTGTATAGAGTAAAGTACCCTCAAATACAAGGTGATCTGCGTTCCACGGCGTAGAATGTTTTCAGGGTCTGTTTCTTCTCTGATCACATATGAGCTACTATCAGCCACTGATTCCCAAACATATTGCTTGTCAGATTTGGGGCTTTTGGTGGACACAACAATCTGAAAGCAGAGACAACTATAAGCTCACTCCTCATAACAATTACACTAACCAAAAGACGCTAAGAAACAAAAGTTTAAAGTCTTAACCTTTTCAGCAACTAAGAAAGCAGAGTAAAACCCAACACCAAACTGCCCAATCAAGCCGTTATCAGCACCGAGGTCCTTGTTTTCCTGAATAAAGATAGAGCTATTAAGACAATGAGCCTGAAAATTTGACAGTTGCTAGCAACTAATTTTCAGAGAGATGAACAAACCTTTAGAGCCTTCAAGAATTTTGAAGTACCACTTTGAGCAATAGTTCCAAGGCAGTCTATAAGTTCTTCCTTTGTCATACCAATACCAGTATCACTGCATAGTCACATCAAATCTCTTTTAAGTAAACAGTTCTATATAATTATCAAGACTCAAGTAACAAAATACGAAGATAAGAATTCACTCATACGTTATGGTAATGGTGCCGTTCTCAGGATCAGGCTTAATCCTAATCTCAAGCTCTCCACCATCTCCAAGCAGAGCAGGCTCTGTAACACTCATGAACCTCAACTTATCCAAAGCATCACTTGCGTTACTGGATACATACAAACACATAAAAAATCAGACTTTAAAAGAAACACACAAATCACTTCTAAATCCATTAGTATATCACAAATATTTTGACATTCACCTGACAAGTTCCCTGAGAAACACCTCCTTGTGACTGTATAAGCTATGAACAATCAAATCCAACAATCTACTAACCTGCAAATGAGATTTCAACAATCAAATCTCAAAACTTTACATTCACTTCAACCAAAAGAAATCAAAAACTAAATCAATCCACGAACAGAGACTATAAGAATTGAATTGAAACATGCCCACAAGATAAAGATTGAAACTTTATAAAAATCAAAGAGAAACCAACCTCAGCTTGGTACTCAAACTTCTCACCGGAGCCTTCTTCAGTCGTCTCTTTCTCAGCCACGGCGGCGTCACACTTAACGGCGAATCGATTACATCTCTTCTCGAGATTCCAGGTACAGGAAACGCCGGTTCTAAGAGCGCCGCCACGAGGCAGAAACGAGGTTCTGAGATGAGAGAGACGGGAAGAAGAGACAGGAGTGATTGGAACAGAAGTCAAAGGACTTGTGTATAGACTTCTACTCAAAGCAGGAGCCATTAGATTGAAAGATTTGAGATTTCTCAAACCCTCTCTTTATCTATCTCTTAAGAGAAAAAGAGTTTGTATGTACTTTGTAAGTAAGTAGTAGTTGAACAAAGAGTAACCTAAAAACCCTATAAAAGGTTTAAGGAGAGTGAGTAGAGTAGAAGAGGTTTCTAGAAGAAAGGCGTGTAGAGTAAGAGATGTTTTGAGAATTGAGATTGTGAGGTCTACGATTAGCCATTTCATCAAAACCGTAGGATTATCCGTTTGTTTCACACGCGCCGCTACTCGAGAAGATTTGAGTTTGGGAACAGATGATAATACCAAACCAACAGTTTATAAAAGACTGTTATGATTCTGACATTGAACTAGTTATATATGCAATAAATAAAATTATAATTATTGAATTAGTAGTTATTGTGATTAATTTAAATAGATGATTCATGGGATTTTATCAAACAAACCGAATTAAAAAACAATTTTCCTTTTTTTTTTTTTTTGGAACACAAACAATTTTCCTTAATTTCAAATTTTGTAAATTAACAAAACCAAAGACATGTAAACTGGTTGTACAGTCCACAGCAAATGTCTGGACTCACGCGCTCAATGGGGCGAGTATATTTTAATTGCTCAAAATTTTCAAACGTGAAAGCTATATTTGGGCCTAAATGTTAAGGCCCGTTAAATTTAAACTGGAGACTAAAGGATGAAACAGGCCTATATGTCAAGAAACTGAGCCTGAACAATAGGGTCAAGTCAATTACTCATATATGAACAAAGAAAAATCTACATATATTAGCTTACATGCATCATGCATATACACAACAAGACAAAAAGATATACATATTTGATTTTTAGGAATGATGTGAACTAAATAAAATACTACAATGTTGAGTCTAACGAAGTTACACGATTGCCAATTATTGTAAAAAATCAAAATCATAGGTTATACATTCCATACCCATTAACTTATTTAACTAAAACATATACAGTTACCGACTTCTCACCGTCCTCTACCTTTTTTTTTGCAATTTCTACATTTTTGTGACTGACTATAATACATGTGTTCTTCTGATATAAAGAAAAAAAAATTGCAAATTTCTTTTAAGAATAGTAAATGAAGCCAAAGGTGTTAATTTATCCCATTTTGGATCAAAACTTGGAATTTATGAATGGTAATTATCAGAAAAATGTGTAAAATTTTTGAAATAGTTTGAAAAATTAAAACCATGTATTATATCTACAAAATTCATATTGGTAAATCAAAACCACTTCATTTTTAGATAAACTCTATGGGCTTGTTGTATTGGTTATAATATAATATCTATATATAGTAAGTTTAGTAACACAAAATTATAAATATAGAAATAAGTATACGATCATGATCATTACTAACATATGTACAAATCTTGAATATTAAAAAGAGTGTGATTCATCGTAAGCCGGGTGTGGAGGTAGACAAGCACGAAGCACGCAAACTTATGAATTACAATTTACGTAATTGTTGTCTTCTTGTTTACAACTCTCAAATCTTTAACGGACCACAGTTTAGTCTCCTTTCTTCGATGTTTAGAGATTTTTTTTTCAAAGCAAATTCTTGTTTATTGAACAATTTTGTTTTATAAATTAACATTCTTACAATAATTAGTAAATCAGAAAAAAATCTAATTAAATTACTGATTATCTGTCTTCATAACTTTTACGTAAATTTCGTATTGGCTAGGCAATATAATGGTTGGAAGAGTCATACGTTTAACAACACGAATAGGCGAATAGCTATAAGCAAGTAAAAAAGTATTCATTATTTTCCGAAAATATGTTGATGAATTAGACACATATATTAATATATAAAAAATTAGACATATATATTCAATATTTACTACTTGGAAATTATATTATCTTTTAATATAAGAAATTAACATTATATAAATATTCTAAGATTATGTAAAGCGTCGATCTTTCAAAAAAAATAAAAATAATTGAAACTGATTTTTATTGTAAGCAGATGTAATAGTTTCTGAAAATATACAGAAGAGTGATATATAAACTGCATTACGTATATATATTACTTTGTAAAGTTCATAGTGTCAGAGAGAAAAGGGAATTTTGTTTAAGTTTATTCTTTTAGGTTGTCCGTACAATAATTACCAAATATTCTTTCAGAAAAATAAATGATATCGATTTATGAGATATAATAAGCTAGTGGCAGTGGTTTAATAAGGCATTGAGATTGCGAAATTGCTCTCCACAAAATAAAATAAAAAGCATGTGCAGAGACTCGAGCATTCATGCAGACTCGTCGTCTCTTTGTTTTTCTCAATTTGCGAGAGTATTGCTTTTGACATAGGTTTGAGTATTTTGACCTCCTAGGTCCTAACATTTATGAATTAATTATTATAACAAATATTTGAACAAAACAGTGTATATAAATAGAACAGTCAGAAACAAAATATCTAAAACTTTTTGAATATTGATACCCTATAATTATTGACTTTATTTACTGATACAACTTTATCAAAAACTAGTGATGTGTTAAGATATATGTGTCAATATATAAAACTTTGAGTGGTTTGAATATGGACGTTATGGCAGAAATCGTAAATATTTATAAGTACAACTTTTTTCATCGTAAGAATCCATACATTACACGTTAATAGAGACACATGGTTATGGACTAATTATGTATACACGAACGTATAACATATGGTCGACAATCTCCTTTATATATAGACTCGTCTCTTTCTTTTTTATAATCCGGCCTAGCTAGGAACATCATAAGAATAACAAAGGAAGATATATCAAGTTTTAAAGGAGGTGAAAGACAAAAGAAAAGAGTCATGACTACTTTGTCAAAGATTTTATGTGTGTTGATCATTCTTCTTTTATTTTTCTCCTTTCGATATTCACTTCATGGTTAGTGTCGCTCTATCTTTTTTTTTTTCCATCTAAAAGAGCCTAACTATAGTATTTAACTTTGATACTCAAACCAATCTAAAGCTTGAAAACAAATTTCTTACAGATTTATTTTACTTTTACAGTTTGCATGCATAAATATATACACATGCATGCATGAAAATTCTAGTCTTACTAGAATAGCTTACTCAAGTATTAACAAATAATAACCTTATTTTGTTCTTTGTGTTCTTTCATCATTAGAAGATGGGAATCAACAATCAAGCGGTGACTTCGTTTCAACTGCTAAGGTATATAGTGGTTGTTTCACTTTCATATCGAATGTTTTTCTTATCAATCATGCAAATTTTTTTTTTCTCATGTTAGATTCAATTCTTCTACTTTCATTGGAAAAGAAAATATATAAATTTCATTGTCCGTTAAGTTTTTTCTTTTACGATCTCACATCTTTCATTCCATAACGCATCTTAAAATAAATAAATAAAATATTTCCTTCCATAAATGTGATGAAGAAGATGATAGGAGGAAGAAAACTTATGATGACAAGTGGAGAAGAAGAAACAACACTAAAGAGAGGAAATGGAAAGACAGAGAGAAACTCGAGCAAAAGTGTTGAAGAGGATGGACTCGTTGCTTACACTGCTGATTATTGGAGAGCTAAGCATCATCCTCCCAAGAACAACTAGTTCTAAAATCATAATATAAAATATCTTTATAGATATATAATTAACCATATAGTTTCATAAAGTGAAATATGTTTGTTTTATGGTGTGTAATATCCTTTTTGTAGTGTGCTTTTTTTCTTTTAACGTTGTCACGGCTTATTTAATGGTTTACATGTAAACCAAAATTTTGAACTTTGAAGCTTTCGTATGTACATGAATTATGACTTTTTTTTTGTTCTTATCAAAACGATTTAAATAAAAATAACGATACGACGATCACCTCGATTGGATAAAACAAATTCAAAAGTAATAACGTTGAGTTGAATATTAAAAAAAAAAACGTCAAGACTTGGTAGCAAAATGTTTCAAGAATTGATGATATGGAAGAAACAAACAACAACCACATTTGGTTGTGTTGTTATAATTCTAAAGATTGTTAAATCACACCACATGGCAAATAGTTCTCTCGTCGAAACACGCGATGGAGTACATGAAGTTCGCCAACTGAGTCGGATGACGAGGATCAAAGAAAATATGAGTAGTGTCTGGTGCCTTACACGAAGGGGAATCGCGTTTGCAACTTGATGTTAAACTTCCATCGTAATCTAAAGGACAACAAGGGCCTGTCGTGTTCAAAAGATTTGAACTCTCTTGGTTTCTTGAAGGTCCTCTTAGTCCCAACATGAACTTGAAGTAATCCGAGTATAGAAACGAAGTGTTGTTCAACTTTTTCTTCATAACAGGAAGGCTATCTCTGAGCTTTTTGTTGTAAATGCTGATCGCAAGGTTTACACGTTCGTTGCAGCTTCCTCGTGGCACGGTCTTTGTTATCATATTCGGGTAACATCCTAATGGTTTTATGTTGTTGATGAAGAACTTTCTTGCTCCTAACTTATGCAATTTCTGTAACAAAATTTAAAATATTTAGTAGAATGTTTTTGGTGGTTGGAAGATTGGTTTATATTATATAAGTATGGTTCAAATTCGTTTGATTCGGTTTGTTCCAAGAACTTGTGAATAATATGTGAAAACCCTTTTACCTCTATTTTTCCCAAGAACTTGTGAAGAAGCTTATCAGCGAAAACATTTGCATCAGTAAACCTAGTATAGAAGAATGCATAGTCATTAACCCCAATCACGGTCATGAACAACGAGTTAGCCAAGTGATCTCTCAGCGAAAATGGCGCTACCAAGCTGTCCTTCAGATGCTTATTGATTGTGCCCTCGAATAGCTTAACTTGTTTGCTTAACGAGAGACATTTCCCCTGTCCATACAATGAATTATCAAAATAAAAATCCATTTATTAGAATTTTCGAAGATCTTTTTTTGAAGACCTTACCGCAATCTTTCCAGTGAGAGGAAGAATCCCACAGCCAGCAGAAGCATAGTTAAAACCAGTTTTGATAATATCCTTCCGGGTGTCAGGTAACCCCAAATAAGCAGGAACCAAAGGAAGCTTATAATAAATAGCTGAACCAAAGAAAAAACATATAACAAGAATACAACGTTAAAAAACTTCAATAGTTCAAATGATCCTTAAAAAAAAACATTTTGAATTCGTGTTTTGTCCTTAATCATATTCATATACATACCAATGTAGTCAGCAATTGTTTTGCCATTACTAAAACGTCCGGTAGCTTTGCCACCTTCAAAGTCAGAACCATAAGGTGGATAATTCGCTTTGATTAACGTCGGAAGATGGTTATTGTTCCCTGCATCAACCAATGAATCTCCAATAACATACATAGCCGGAAAATTCCCACCAAAAAGCACGTCTTCTTTTGATGGCTTGCGTGAGTAAATGGTGGAGACATTGAGAAAAGAGAGGAGGAGCAGAAGAATGTATGACTTTTGAGAAGAAACCAAACCCATTTCTTTATTTGAAAAGAGTTGGAAAGAAATAAACCCTGCGAAGTGAAAAAATCACAATTTAGAAAGCATCAAAACAAACTAAAATACTAAAAATACACCATGCAAAAAAACTTTGAATATTCCCACGTACATACTCCTATTCATATCGTATAAGCTTTTAATCCAAATAAAATCTTATAGAAATTTATGAAATGTAACAAAATTATTCAGTAACGTTACCTTATTGCACGGTGATCAATGCAGTCTACTAAGACAAAACACTTGTGTTGAGGAAAAGAGAGAGCACTAGATAAACAACAAAGATGAATGAGTATCAAACTTTGATATAGTGAAAGAAATAGAAAGGAATAATAGAATTATAAGGAGTTACCAGTGGAATAGAGGTGAAAGCAAAAGTAAAAATCCAGAATCTTTAAATAAAAGAAAGATGGAGATGATCAAAGCTAATTATAGCATTAAAAACAAAACAAAAATTAGTAGAATTAATTATCAGTTAATACCACAAACCTTGGATCTTGATAGAACCCGAAGCCGAATTGTTAGTGTGTGTGTCTGAATATTTCAACAACTCTTGTATTGGATTACCAAACAAGAGAGTGATTGAGTTAATGATACCACATACCATTGTAGTAGCTAGGATCAGAGCCGTGCGAAGGTTAATGAGTATCCGAAGCAAAAAAAAATTTTAGTTTAAACAAAAAAAAAGTGTTTACACAAATTAACATATTTATCATATAAATAAAAAATAAAACAAAATATAAGTTCTTAAACATATTATTTTTCTTTCTCTCCACAAAATTGTTAACCAAGCTTTTAAAATAATAATGTTACAAAATACGATGATTACTTGCAATTCTAGAAATAAATTGGTTGAAAAATATTTAACCAAAACAGAGTAAATAGAAATAGGAAAATAAGACATAATTAAGTTTAACATGAAACTTTGACAGAAACAATTTGATGAAAAATGTTGAAGAAAAAGTTAGCCACTATATAGTAAAGCTGACAAATATCTATTTGTAATTCTAACTATTTTTGTTTTTTTATTTATATAAGAGGAAAATGTAGTCGTAATTATTTAGTTAACTAGGTTCGGACCCGCACTACAGCGCGGGGGAAATAATTATATATATATAATTTTTAATTGATTAGAATATGTTATATTTTAATTTTATTGCAATGCATTCGATTACGGTGAATTATATATTTGTATAATAAGTTTAAATAAAATAATAAACGAAAAAAGCGAGTAAATAATAATATATTGAGTTTTGATACAAATTAAATAACAATAAAAATTTAACAGCATGAAATAATCTTTATCGACAAATTATTCAATTGACCATTTCTGTAGTAGAAGTAGGAATATACATAAAAATTACATACTTACAATATATTTTATGAAAAATCAACTCGTAACATAATTCATTTGGTAAAAAACATTATTCATAACTCGCTTTACCATTATAATTGTGATTTTAACAAACTACACGTGAACTATCTAAATTTACATAGTTTGATATATAACATATTTTATCAATAGTAATTATATCACAAAAAAGTACTTTTAATATTCTAAATTCTAATTATTTTATATATTTCAACCTTTTAATT